AAAAGTAGCAGAATTAGCAACTGGTCAACTGTGCTTACTCAGAAATATTATTAAAAAAATCTCCGGCAAAATAGGCAAGGAAAATGGGATAACAGGCTTGTCCCTTTACCAAACAAGGTTTGTCCCCCTCCCTGAACTTTCAACAGTTAACTTTCTGATATCGGTTGAGAGAAGGAGGCAAGTAAAATATTGCCATCAATCAAATATGTTTTGGAGAGGCTTTCAAACGGTGGTTATTAACAACCCATGATGTTTTGTAAAATTTACCAGCAAAATGAAGTTTCTGCTTGGGCTTTCAATTTAGATGCTGGCAGACGAGACCTAACTGTACACGTTTGGTTACCTGGATATTGTCAAGGGATCATAGTCAAGTATACCAGTTGTTTTCAAAGTTGTATATCTCTATGGAGTGTATTCACAAACGTTTTGGCTATACATATAATAACATGCATAAACAAATTCTTTGAAAATGGATGATTACCTTAGTGATTAAGGCATGTAACTAGTTTATTTAGCAAGAGTAAATACTAAGGATTGAATCTTGCGATAAAGATTCTTGAAAAAAAAAGGTGTTTGTTTGTGGTGTTTAGATGCGTTGGTGTTAGACGTCTGGGGATGGTTTTCGGTGGAGGGGAAGCGGGGATTTAGTTAGGGATTGGATTTCATTAGTGAATAAATAGAATTAAAAAAAAAAAAAAAAAAAAAAAAAAAAAAAAAAAAAAAATAAAAAAAAAAAAAAAAAAAAAAAAAAAACTCCCCTCTGGCCATGCTTCTTGTCTTCTCTTCTCTCTGATCCCCTCCCTGCCCCGCTCCTCCGCGTCTTGCTCACCCGCCTTTCCTCCCCCTTGTTCCCTCTTTCTCCCCAGCTTTTGTTTCCGCCTGTGTCTGTTCTTCGGCCTGTCTTCCTGTTCCCTCCGAGCGCGTTTCCCCCCTTTGCTTCTCTGCCTCTCCTGCTTCCTCTTCTGCCGCCCTCCCCGGCTCCTCCCGGCCCTTGCGTGCTCGCCTGTTCTCCTCGTCCCCCGCCGTTTGCCCTCCCGTTTTCCCCTGTTCCTTCCGCCCCACCTCCCCCTCCTCCGTCGGCCTCCCGCATGCCTCTGGGCTCCCTCTTGGCTCCCTCGCCCGTGCCCTTCGCTCGCTCTTCCTGTGGCTTCCTGGTCCCCCTGACCCTTCTCCCCTGCCCTGTTTGCCATGTTGCTCGTGGCGCCCTCTCTCTGCCCGTCCCTTTCTTCATTGCTCCCGCGCCCTCCCCTCCTGCCGTGCTTTTTTCTCCCTGCTCCCTGGCCACCCTTGTCCCTCTTCTCTCTTCTCCTCCTTTCACTTCCCTCTCCCGTCTTCTTTCCCTCGCTCGGCGCCCCTCCGGCCCCGCCCCCCGCGCACTTGGGGTCGTCCGCGTGCCCTGGGTTGCGTGGTCGGTTCTGTTTCCCTTCGCCCCCGGGGGCGCTCCCCTCTGTGCCGTCCGTCCGCCCCTGCCCGTTGCCTTCTCTCCCCGCTCTCTCTCCCCTCTTCTCCCGTCGCCTCTCCTTCCTCTTTTCTGTCGGGCTCGGCCCTCGTCGTATTTCCTCCTGCTGCTCCGCCCGTCTTCCTCTCGTGCTGTTCGCCCGTCCGTTCCTCGTCCCTTCGTTCGCCTCTCCCTCCTCTACTCTCCCCCGTTGCTTCCCTCTCCCCCGCGCTGTCCGGGCCTCCTCCCTTTCCTCACGCGTCCCTTTCGCCCCCCACCGCGCGCTCCCCTCCTTTCTTCTCCTCCGTCACCCCTTCCCCTACCCCTCCCCCCTTGCTCCCGCTGGGGCTCCCCCGCCTCCTCTGTCTCCTTTCGCCGTCTCCCTTTCCGCCTCGTCTCTGCGTTCCCGGCGTGCTGTCTTCGTCGGGGTCTACCGGTCTCCGGTTCCCTCGTCCTCGCCCTGTCCCGCTTTCCTTGTTCTCCCCAGTGGCCTTGTCGTTCCGCCCTGTCAGCCCTCCGGTCCCCTCTTTTTGTCGCCCGTTCGCGTGGCCACCGTGCCTGTCGGGCGTTAGCTTTCCGCCCTTTCCCTGTTTCGCCTCCCCTTCCCGCGTGCCCCCCTGTCTGTGTTCCTCTTCCCCCCCGCTTGGTCCTTTCTCCTCCTCTCCCTGCGCTTCGTGGCTTGTGCTCTTCTCGCCTCGGACCCCCCTCTCCTCCCGCACCTCTGGCCCGCTCCTCCCTTTTCTCGTCCTCCTCCGCTTGTTTTCCCAGTCCGGAACCGCACCTATTTCCCTGCTGCCCCTTTGCCCTTGTGTACGTTTCGCACTGTGTTCCTCCTCTTGGGCCGTTGGGTCAGTCCGCTGTTTCCCTCTGGTGTGGCTCCGTTCTCGGATCCATGCTGGATTCTTTTGCCCCAGTCGCTGGCGGGGGGTTCTGGCTGCCACTCTCTTCTTCCGTTCCCTCCGTCCTGGTCTTGAGTTTCCGCCGCTTCACCCTCACCCACGCGGTTGTCGTTCTCGCTCTTACCACGCCTTTCCGACGCCCTTTCCGCAGGGCCTTTCCTTTCTTCCCACCTCCTTTCACTCCCCCTCCCCCTGGGTTTACGCTCCCTCCCTCCCCTCATGCGATTCCGCCTTTACCGCACTTTGCCGTTCGCCCTTTCACGGCTTGTTCTTCCCCGCTCTCGCGTTTTCATGTTTTTTGCTTGTCGCCCCCGTACCTTCGGGCCTCCCTTCTGCCCTCCTCTCTCGACCGCGCCCTGCTTCCCTGTTCTCAGGTTCCGCCTTCCGGTGGCTTGACTCTGCCCCCCCACTGCCCACCCCGACTCGGCTTCGCGCGCATTTTTCCCTGCTCTTTGCCACCCTGGTCCGCCCCTCTGCCTCCCTCTGCAGGAGCAACTTCCGTCCTATTGGTAAATCCGCCCCGGCACCGCAACTCGTGTTGCCCTTCTCTTGACTTTGTCCTCTTTGTATTTCTTACTAGACGAATTGACCGACCCTTAACAATCCAAAAATTCTTCTCTTACCTCTGCCAACGTGTCATTTACACCACCATGCAAAACACCTCTGTGACAATCCATAACAACTAACTTTGTAACATCATGATCACTTTGGCAAAATCGCAGGATATTTCTCTCCGTAGGCATTTCAGAATTTCTGAATCGTCCCTTGCATCTGAACAATTCCTTCTGCATCAACAAACAAACCAAGATTCTTTCCCAGTCACCGTAACGCTTGTCGATGTGATAATAACGTTGAATTTCCAAAATCCATAATTTCCGTGTGTTATCGACGTCTCCAACTGTTATGATTCCCTCGTAGTCATTTGAACCGTTACTATGACTTCTGATCCGCGAACTTTAGCCTTTAGATTGTCAATGAATCGCATTACAAGGGCTGTTACTCTCAGCAATTTATTGTAATTACTGAAATTCCTAACATCGATAACAGTAGATAAATTTCCGTTAGTTTCCAGTTTGGGTCAGCAAAGTAAACTCACAGTTAGGCTTGTTTCAATTAACGCATCCTTGCCAGGTTCAAATTTTTCCGGAGAGGGTGGCCAGGTATGCTCAGGTAGCCTGAGCCATGCAGGTCCCTGAAACCACTTCTCATTCCCCTCTAAAGAGGAAGCATATGCTCCTCTAGATGCAATATCGGCAGATTGTCAACACCTGGTGTAAATCTCCACTCTCCAGGCAAACTACAGCATTTGATCTTGTTGACTCTGTTATCAACAAACTGCTTTAAATCCTTAGTTGTGTTTATCCAGTACAATGCATTTAGACTGTCAGTCCAATAATTATTCTTTCCAATAACAAGACTTCCTTCAAGAGATTCCTTGACCCTAAACATAGTTTGGCCAGTATTTCTGCTGCAGTTAACTCCAACCGAGGTATTGAAATCCCTTTAACAGAGCAAACTCTTGATTTTCCTGTGACAAGTGTACTCAATTTGACTCCGCTTTCTGTTGTATAAACTGCGTATACGCAAGCACCAAGAGCTTCGTAAGTGCGTCAGCAAAACCATGCAAATTCTTATATGTAAATGATCTCCTTTCTTCAGCAAACATATATCTTTGTACAGCGATAGAAATTTGTTTTGTCGAGATCCAGTAACCATCTTTTCAAATCCGAGTGTGGTCTTGGTTGAGCTCATCATCCATTTTGTTTTCAACAAGCACAATTCTTGAAACATGTAGCTTTGCTTTAAAGTTATAGGCGAGATCAATCCTAAGGGGTCAAACATTTTTGCAGCTGTAATCAAAACAGATCTTTTAGTAGGCTCCAAAGAATTTCCGCATCCAACAACACCTCCAAATTCAATGTTATTAAATCTAATCTGTGTTCCAGTTTAATCCCAATACTTTCTGTTCGACAGGTCTTTCCAGCTCTTCAAATTTTCCGAATGACAATTTAGTATACGATTCATCTCTCTTCTTACTCCTCCTAAGGGAAGCCATTTGAGTTGAACATCAACATGAAAGCAAAATTTCCGCAAGTTCCTTTGAATTGCTATTCATTTCCGTAGATTAAAGTTTCCTTCGCCATAAATTTGTTTGGCGTTCAAGCATACACTGGTCGCTCCTCCACTGTATTCACAGATGTCGATAAATCGTCCCGCAATAAAACGAATTTAGCATAAATTTGACGAGTTCTGGGTCGAGCTGTTCGTACTTCTTTATGTGATGTTGAAGGTGGCATTCATATGAATGGACTGCAACAAGGCCAAATACTACTGACAAAACCGATAACTAAACAATTTGAGATCTCCGTCATTGATGTCCTTAACCCATAAGAACCTCAAAAAATCTCTTTGGCTTTCGTCGACTGCAATTGAAAAGAAAGCCTTTTCGATGTCTGCATTATGAGTCCAATTTTTCTTCCTCTGAATGTATAATAAATAGCATAGCAATTGTTCCGTCAATGAAGGTCCTGTATGGAGTGTGTCATTTAAACAAACGCGTTGATTTGCTAGAAGCATCGAAACGAGAATTTTTTGTGGTGAGAGCTTCTTTTCTATGCAACTTGGCTTGGCAAGTAATGCACCTCCCCGACTTCAACTGGCTGGTCAAATCATACTTCCATAATCCCCTTTTTCCAGTTGCTCCGTTGAAAATCACATTCTTGCACATATCATGGAGTTTTCTCATTCGTTTCAAGGTAGAATTCAAACGATTCACAGAATTCTCAAATTGTCCGGCAATACAGGCGAGTTTTCTTTAACGGCAGAACCAGAGAATATTTTTCCAAAATGAAACATTCTTTTCAAATGATTCAGCGACAGTTCCTTCTCTTATCCCTATGGTCTCAAAGTCCCAGAATTTAGTTTAGCCGAACATCAAATCTTTCACTTACATTCCACTTTGAGCAAGTATGTCTCCGTGACGTGTTAATTTGCTTATCCCGGATAGTTCACCAGGCCGTAAAGCACCCCAACCCAAAGATGTATTCATCGCTGTGGGCCTTTCTTGGTGTTCGTCAGTTTCCACCTCCCCAGTGAAAAAACTTGATGCTCTCGTCGCAACCACAATCAGTATGTCGACATCTTTTCCTGCATCAACGTCGGGATCATCAGATTCTACTACCACACCCGGCACACACAGCACGAGAGCAAACGCACACACGCACTCGCATTTATCAATCCCGCCACGAGTTGTTGAACACAGAGAGAGAGAGTCGACAAGTATCACTCGACGGTTGCGACGAGAGCATCAAGTTTTTCACTGGGGAGGTGAGAACTGACGAACACCAGAAAGGCCCCACAGCGATGAATACATCTTTGGGTTGGGTGCTTTACGGGCCTGGTGCAACTATCCGGGATAAGCAAATTAACGGACAGTCAACGGAGACATACTTGCTCAAAGTGGAATGTACAAGTGAAGATTTGGATTCGCAGCTAAATAAATTCTGGGACTTTGAGACCATAGGGATAAGAGACAAGGAAACTGTCGCTGAATCATTTGAAAAGAATGTTTCATTTACGGATGGAAAATATTCTGTGGTTCTGCCGTTCAAAGAAAACTCGCCTGTATTGCCGGACAATTTTGAGAATTCTGTGAATCGTTTGAATTCTACCTTGAAACGACTGAAGAAAACTCCAGATGTTGTGCAAGAATGTGATTCAATAATCAACGAGCAACTGGAAAAGGGGATTATTGAAAAGGTTGATTTGACCAGCCCAGTTGAAGTCGGGGAGGTGCATTACTTGCCAAGCCAAGTTGTCATAAGAGAAGAAGCTCTCACCACAAAAATTCGAATCGTTTACGATGCTTCTAGCAAATCAAACGGCGTTTGTTTAAATGACACACTCCATACAGGACCTTCATTGACGGAACAATTGTATGCTATTTTGCTCAGATTCAGAGGGAAGAAAATTGGACTCATTGCAGACATCGAAAAGGCTTTTCTTTCAATTGCAGTCGACGAAAGCCAAAGAGATTTTTTGAGGTTCTTATGGGTTAAGGACATCAATGACGAAGATCCTCAAATTGTTTGTTATCGGTTTTGTGCAGTAGTATTTGGCCTTTGTTGCAGTCCATTCATTATGAATGCCACCTTGCAACATCACATAAAGAAGTACGAACAGCTCGACCCAGAACTCGTCAAATTAATGCTAAATTCGTTTTATTGCGACGATTTATCGACATCTGTGAATACAGTGGAGGAGGCGACCAGTGTATGCTTGAACGCCAAACAAATTTATGGCGAAGGAAACTTTAATCTACGGAAATGGAATAGCAATTCAAAGGAACTTGCGGAAATTTTGCTTTCATGTGATGTCAACTCAAATGGCGTTCCCTTAGGAGGAGTAAGAAGAGAGGATGAATCGTATACTAAATTGTCATTCGGAAAATTTGAAGAGCTGGAAAGACCTGTCGAACAGAAAGTATTGGGATTAAACTGGAACACAGATCTAGATTTAATAACATTGAAATTTGGAGGTGTTGTTGGATGCGGAAATTCTTTGGAGCCAACTAAAAGATCTGTTTTGATTACAGCTGCAAAAATGTTTGACCCCTTAGGATTGATCTCGCCTATAACTTTAAAAGCAAAGCTACTGTTTCAAGAATTGTGCTTGTTGAAAACAAATTGGGATGATGAGCTCAACCAAGAACACACTCGGATTTGGAAAAGATGGTTACTGGATCTCGACAAAACAAATTCTATCGCTGTACAAAGATATATGTTTGCTGAAGGAAAGGAGATCATTTACAATATAGATTTGCATGGTTTTGCTGACGCATCTACGAAAGCTCTTGGTGCTTGCGTATACGCAGTTTATACAACAGAAAGCGGAGTCAAATTGAGTACACTTGTCACAGGAAAATCAAGAGTTGCTCCGGTTAAAGGGATTTCAATACCTCGGTTGGAGTTAACTGCAGCAGAAATACTGGCCAAACTTATGTTTAGGGTCAAGGAATCTCTTGAAGGAAGTCTTGTTATTGGAAAGAAATATTATTGGACTGACAGTCTAAATGCATTGTACTGGATAAACACAACTAAGGATTTAAAGCAGTTTGTTGATAACAGAGTCAACAAGATCAAATGCTGTAGTTTGCCTGGAGAGTGGAGATTTACACCAGGTGTTGACAATCCTGCCGATATTGCATCTAGAGGAGCATATGCTTCCTCTTTAGAGGGGAATGAGAAGTGGTTTCAGGGACCTGCATGGCTCAGGCTACCTGAGCATACCTGGCCACCCTCTCCGGAAAAATTTGAACCTGGCAAGGATGCGTTAATTGAAACGAAGCCTAACTGTGAGTTTACTTTGCTGACCAAACTGGAAACTAACGGAAATTTATCTACTGTTATCGATGTTAGGAATTTCAGTAATTACAATAAATTGCTGAGAGTAACAGCCCTTGTAATGCGATTCATTGACAATCTAAAGGCTAAAGTTCGCGGATCAGAAGTCATAGTTAACGGTTCAAATGACTACGAGGGAATCATAACAGTTGGAGACGTCGATAACACACGGAAATTATGGATTTTGGAAATTCAACGTTATATCACATCGGACAAGCGTTACGGTGACTGGGAAAAGAATCTTGGTTTGTTTGTTGATGCAGAAGGAATTGTCAGATGCAAGGGACGATTCAGAAATTCTGAAATGGCCTACGGAGAGAAATATCCTGCGATTTTGCCAAAGGATCATGATGTTACAAAGTTAGTTGTTATGGATTGTCACAGAGGTGTTTTGCATGGTGGTGTAAATGACACGTTGGCAGAGGTAAGAGAGAATTTTTGGATTGTTAAGGGTCGTCAATTCGTTAAGAAAATAATCAAAGATTGTACCAAATGTCGAAGATTTGAAGGGCAACACTATGCTTTGTCTCCTGTGTCGGATTTACCTAATTTTAGGACGGAAGTTGCTCCTGCATTTTTGAATGTAGGCTTAGATTTTGCGGGACCATTGTTTGTCAAAGAGCATGGAAAAAATTCTTCTTCTAAGGCCTATATTCTGTTGTTTTCATGTTGTGTTTCAAGAGCAATCCACCTTGAAGTCGTACCTGATTTAACAGTTGAATCATTTCTTCTTGGCTTGCGTAGATTTATGTCTAGAAGGGGTATTCCGAAGTTACTTTTGTCTGACAATGCAAAAACATTTAAAACTGCGAGTATTCTTGTGAAGAAAATCCTTGAAATTGCTAAAACTGCAAAGGTTCGTGAATTCTTGTTAGATCATTCTATGAGTTGGAGGTTTATTTTAGCTAAATCCCCATGGTGGGGAGGGTTTTATGAAAGGATGGTGAAAGAAATTAAAAGGCCCTTGCGGAAGGTTCTCGGAAATGCTTGTTTAAATATCGATGAACTTACAACCGCTGTTGTTGAGGTTGAATCGTGCTTAAACTCAAGACCATTGACGTATTTAACGGAAGAAGATATTGTGCAGCCATTAACCCCCTCTCATCTGATCTGTGGCAAAAGAATCCATCATTTACCTGATGTAACGGAGCTCACACCAGAGGGAAATCAGCTGACTACCCAACTGGCCTCAAAGAGGATGCAACACATGTCGAAACTTTTACAACAATTTTGGCAAAGGTGGCAGAGGGAATATTTGCGTGGCCTACGTGAACAGCATCGAGTATCTACGAGAAAGGTAGGATCTTTCCATATTTCTTTGGGAGATATTGTCACGATTCGAGAAGATCACATCCCACGATCGCAATGGAGATTAGGGAAAGTAACCAAGCTTATTTGTGGTAAAGATGAACACATAAGGGGTGCACGCTTGAAGGTTATTTCGAAACAAGGGAAAATTTCTGAAATCGAACGCCCCCTACAGGCACTGTTTCCACTCGAACTTTGCGACAAAAATAGGGTACCGGATGTTGACATTTCTAACTCAAGTCCCACTGGGGGAGAACAATGGAAAGCTGGACAGTCTAGACCTATTGAACCCGGTAGACCTGTTAGACCGAGAAGACAAGCAGCCTTGAACGCAGATACTATTCGTAGAATTTTAGACTCTAAATGATTACATATTATTCGTTGTTGATCCCCATCTGGATCAAGGTGGGGAGTGTGTTATGGAATTTGGACTCTAGTATAATAAAGTATTTTAATCTCTCGGTTATGTTGCGAAATGGACGCGTTATTAAAATTTATTATTCCGCTGACAGCGCTTGTGTATGTAGCAACGTGTTAGATTAGATTAGGTAGAGTTCGGAACGAAGGGTAGAGAACGGACGTGCGTAACAGCACGAGAGGAATACGGTCTTATCAGCATTAGGAAATACAGAACGAGGGCCTAGCCCTACATGAAAATAGGAATTATATTCTATCTTTATACATATTTGATATAGCGAGTATTTGCTGCAAATGAATGGAACCGGCTTTTTAGTTCTTGATGCTTGCAGTTATAAAAATTTTTCAAATCGAAAAGTTCTTTAGGGATTTCGTTTTTAGTAGTATAAGTTCTTTAAATATTTCGGCCTTCTAGATGTAGGCTCCTTATAAAGTGGTTCCTTATAAAAAAGAAAGTCTATACTATCAAGTCAAATGCACCCGACTCCCATAGGGGTATGGGGCTACACGATAAAATTTCAACAGGGGTGCTCATGTTTTTCTTTTGGGGTCAGAATTTGACAAATTGATATTTTTTGGTTTCTGAAAGTGATGGTGGTTTTTCGGAGGTTTAGAAATTATTTTTCAACAAATGAAGAATTTTAGCCAAACATTAGGGCACTTTTTGGGTTTCAAATCTTTGCGTTGTTTTTGGGGGCTAGAATTTTAGGCCTGCTATTTTTTGGTAAGACAAGATTCCCTCAAAGGAGCACCCCTATCCGAAAACACACTGGTCGCCCCAGCCCACCCTGGAACCAGTTAGTTTACAATACTAGCAGGTATCAGATGTTCTTTATGAGTAAATGCGTATGTATGGTAAAACATCGGTTTGGTAGCCTTCCATTATTCCAGACCCATTAGTGATACTTGAGAGCACCCCCACCC